TATAACGGTTCGTAAGATAGACCCTTGTGACAGATGGACGGACGCCGGACGGACGGATAGCGAAGTCTTAGTAATAGCGTTCCCGTTTTTATCCTTTGGGTACGGAACCCTAAAAAGACTCAAAAATTGGTCTCTAAAAAAAAGTTTTTGTAACTAGCCAACTATTTTATTTTATTAAAAATAGTTGGCTGATAAAATGTTGGCTGTAGGACTCGAACCTGCAACCTTTAGATTGGTAGACGAGAGCTGTACCTCTACGCCACCGGGCACCATATTACTTATATTACAAAAAAATATATAAATAAAATAACCTATAAAAATATAGAAATTATTCAAAATTGTATTATTTTTTTTGTGACTCCACAAAAAGTCTCATCTTCGATTTTTATATTTTTTTCTTTATGTTTTACTAGCATTTTCCGAAGGCTTTAATAAAATATTATAGCTCTCCTGAATAATTATTACGCTCCGGGTGTTGCCTACCAGTTATCGGCACATTATAGATGCAAGAGTGCTCTTTTAATAACATTTCCCGGAGCCATTTTGTCAAGCGGAGCGCCTAGGAACTATTAAGCGAAAAATGAAAAGAAGAACGCTGAATTTTCCGCAAATTTCCGGCCATTAAAACCATAATTGAAAAGTCAGCTATAAAACGATAAGGTATTACATTGTATAAACAGGTCTTTTTACTGTAATCGCAAAAATGTCCGAGATATTTTTATAATCAGCGAGTAAGTCAGTCAATAATGGGTATTCCTAGTAATGACTCTGGAACAAGATAGACTATAAAAGACTATACGTCATCATTTACCACCCTTGAATTTTAATTAATTGCCTCTAAATAAAGGACTTTTAAGAAGCGTTCAAGGATAATGTAAACTATGTCTTTAAGCTCAAGAAATAATTAGCAATAATACGTTTAAGACAGCATATGTTTAAGAGTTATTTCAAGTCTTTTATATAGTTATGTGCTTCATCGTTAAGCTCAGTAGTTTATTTGTCATAAACAAATTTAAGATTAAATTAGAATTTTAAACAGACTTATGCTGTGTTTCTTAGTGCTCTTTTGAATTTGTGAAACTGTGAATCTGTGTTGGAAAATTAGTACAATTTATTTTAGAAAATGTTCATGATAAGAGAATTTTTTTCCATTTTGAAAATGTCTATTTTTTATGAAAATAGAGTGGTTGAATTATTTTTTCAATTTCTTTAAGGTCTGAGGTGCGATTCTGTAATCTCCTGATTTTATCTAGTCTGTTTTTTTATGGAGATATGTTAAAGACAGTGTTTACAAAACTCGATCAACTATTGTCGACAACATGAGAGAAATTATTGTAGCTGCTTTTCGAGGTAGAACTGCATATATGGATTTTAAAATAAAAACATCCTTTTGAAATGACAATCGTTTTATGCAGTTAACAGGAAAGAAAGCATTTTGAGCATTTGATTTAATATAACTAATTTTTGTCATATAATTATAGGTTTATATCTAGTTTTAATTCTGTAATAATTAAAATATGTTTTAATCTTTTTATTACCGTTGAGTATTTTACTCTACAATCTTTAATTTTTGTTAAATTAACAAAAGGCCACACACAGCCACCCTAGATTTTTTCAAATAATAAAGATCAACTGACGTAAAATCAAAAAAATTAAAATATCTAGGAAAATCTTTATCTGAGGGGTAGACAATCTTAATAATGTTTTGAAAACATATAAATTCCCCATTGAACACCGGAAAAATATACTGGATGTTCAATTTAAAATAAAGGAGTAACTTGCTTTGAAAAGTGACTAATGTTCCATATTAATTTTGTCTCACCCTGTATAACTTTTCCAGTCAAATTGTTGTAAATAAATATCAGGCTATACAAGGTCAACTAAAAGCTAGGTAGCTATTATTGAAATTTAGAATTTTCTCTTCATTTTCACAAAATGTGAAATATATCAAAATCCTTAGATTTTTGGTATATGCTTCTTTAACAAAACTCATCTTTATTTTTTTCCTAGAATCCGAAAATCAATTAATATATAGAGTATTCCATTAAAAAAAGACAACTTTGATGTGTAACTTTTTTTGGGGACGCCCTATATAATTCTATATATTTTTATAAAATGCTTTCAGATAACCTACATATGCTACCAAAATTTTATTTCGATATAAACTACCGTCCTCCTTGGAGCTTCCGCGGCAGTATAATTAACATAGTACTAGGCATTTAGTCATCCATCCTAATCAAAACAGGATCTTTAATTAAATCTATCCACGTCATTAATGTCGGTACTAAAGAGATCTTGAATGTGAATGCAACCCTACATACTTTTGTCTTCCTAATATCCCCGCGCTTATGGCAGCACTAAAAACGCTTTTACTACCTAACACAAACGAAATTCGCTCTTAAAGTTTATTGGCCCTTTTTGATAAGTAAAATCGTTAAGTTTTAGGACCCTAATTAGGAGAATATTATACATTTAGGGGCCTAATTATATATTTAGGACCTCACACAGCCCTTGCAAATTAGTTTTACTTTAAGCATCTGACAGTATAAAACGTATTTATTTATAATCTGTTATTTAGAAGGTCCGCACTTTCATCTACAGATTAGATTAGAGTAGTGTATACAGGGTGTCCCAGGCTGAGCGTGCATTAGAAGTTTCTAGGGAACCACGATATCTAGATCGGAGATTTTTTGCACATCATTGTTTCACAACGAGATCTATCGATTAAAAATATTTTCAATATGTCGGCGCTTCCGGAAATACCGGAAGTTGACAGCAACTTTCTTATTTTAAACGGGTGCCTCCAATTTTTATTATACGAAATAATATACATGTTCTGATTTCTTTCGAAAATCTACATCTATGAAACTATTAACTCTTCCGGGACACAAACGGTACATTGTGAGACAGGAAATTGTAGAGAGAAACAAGCCCTATAACATAGGATACAACATTTTAATGAACAGTGCTTTCCATAAAATCAATAAAATGAAAAATACACGAAATAATATACATGTTCTGATTTCTTTCGAAAATCGACAACTATGAATCTATGAACCCTTCCTGGACACAAACGGTACATTGTGAGACAGGAAATTGTAGAGAGAAACAAGCCCTACAACATAGGATACAACATTTTAATGAACAGTGCTTTCCATAAAATCAATAAAATGAAAAATACACGAAATAATATACATGTTCTGATTTCTTTCGAAAATCGACAACTATGAAAATATGAACCCTTCCTGGACACAAACGGTACATTTTGAGACAGGAAATTGTAGAGAGAAACAAGCCCTATAACATAGAATACAACATTTTAATGAACAGTGCTTTCTTAAACTAAATCTTAAATAACTTAAAAACGATTTATTTTAGGTATAAGAATAAACAGTACAAAAAATAATACAGTTACAAAAGTATAGTTAAAAATACATAATACATAAGTAGATGGAGAAGGGGATTTCTGCATCAGGAGGATCAGAGGATCAGGCGCACTGCGCATGCGCAAATCAGGTAAGAACAGTTAAAATAGGCTAACAAACAAGAATAAACAGGTTTGAACCGCTTTGAACCGCTTTTGAACAGCTTTGAACGGCTTTTTAGTGTAAAACAACAGACCTGTTCAGTTTTTGTTCAAACCCGTTCAAAGCTGTTCAAAAGCGGTTCAAAGCGGTTCAAACCTGTTTATTCTTGTTAGTTAGCCTATTTTAACTGTTCTTACCTGATTTGCGCATGCGCAGTGCGCCTGATCCTCTGATCCTCCTGATGCAGAAACCCCCTTCTACCTCTACTTACATAATACATAATAATACATAACACAGTTACAAAAGTACAGTTAAATAGTACAGTTAAAAAATAACGAATTGAAAATTCTTTTTACTAGTGAAATAAAAAAGTGGGTTTCCATTTGAAAAAAATGATTTATGATAATTTTTTTATCGCTCAATTCCATGACAGCTGCGACCATTATTATATGACATTCGAACAATTTAATTTTAGAAATAGATAGCCATATGTTTTCTCTTTATGGCACAGTGGATGTGGTGATCACTAAATTTGACGTTTAGGCTATACACATATTTTTGACAGGCAGTTTTTTTCGTTCAAAAATTTTAAATATTTTTTTTCTCAAAAACGGTTAATGTTAGATATTGAGTGTTAATATCAAAATTCGTAAAATTTTACAAAGAATTTAAGTACACAATAAAAAATGGGGGCACCCATTTAAAATAAGAAAGTTTTTGTCGACTTCCGGTATTTCCGGAAGTGCCGCTATATTAAAAATATTTTTAATCGATAGATCTCGTTGTGGAACTACGATGTGCAAAAAATTTCCTAGCCAGATGTTGTAGTTCTCTATAAATTTCTAATGCATGCTCAGCCTGGGACACCCTGTATACACAGTACCTGTTATAGTATATTTGCCGTTTTATTATGCCAAGTCCAGACCAAGGCGACAAAAAACAGGATTTTGAGACAAAAACAAGACAAATTTGCGACAAAAAGTGAGGAATTATGTCAAGACAAACAATAATTGTCCACACCAAAAAGACAAAAGTACAACAAAGTCAAAAGTTTAGTTGTTTAGGCAAAAGAGTTTTATTAAACATGTGTGATTTGTCGTAAAATATACGAACAAAACAAAGACACTTTGATCTTTACCGACTCGAGACGGGACATTGAAAAGTCTCCGAATTTTGAAACTGAAAAACAAAAACGAGAAAAAAATGTCGCAGAAATATATTGGATTTGTCGCAATTTTCTCGTAAATAATGAATGTTACTGTCTTGTCGTTGTTTTGTCTGCTTGGTCTAGGCATTAGAAATACAGAAAACAATACAGTTATGACCTTTTTTGAGTTTTTTTATTGCTATAGAGACAGACGATGCCCAGTTGATGATATTCGTAGTCTTTTATTAACTAGTTCGTACTCTACTGGCGTATATACATTGAGAGAAATATGAGTGAGTACCTGATGAGTTTAAGGTAGTACTCACCGTTTAATATGTGCACGTACGTGCTGGCAGATTGTGCGTTACTGGGTACGCAGGAGTAGTTCCCCGAGTGCCGCGTGGCGGCGTTGGTTATCGTCAAGGTACTGCTTTTGTCCAGGAGTTCTGTGGTCACATTGATCCCCCGATCGACATCGTAATTTATCATTCTATTGTTGTGGTACCTGAAAAAAGAAAGTTAAAAATTAAATAAAATCCAATAAATATTTTCTTGTTGATTTATTTAGAACGTACCAAAACACGTAGGCAGGTGGTTCGGTACTCTGTAGTACCGTACATTGCAGCCTGAGACCGCTGCCTGGTTTCAGGTACTTCTCTGGAGGACCTTGTATGTCAGCTCTGGCCTCTGAAATATAAACAAAATAGTTGAATTCGAATTTTTAGCGACAGTATTTGTTCTAGCTCTTTATCTAACAAAAAATACTTAAAAAAAAATCAAAGAAAAATTGTTTTATATTTTAGGAAGTTTGGCATGGAATTTTGAACATCCTGTATCGTTTAAGATTACAATATTTATAGCAAAGTAAGTATAGACCATCTAAGGTTATATAAAAATATTATATTTTTTATTTATTTATCTATATCTCATAAATAACTAAAACAAATTTAATAATATCTTCTCTCTGTAAAGTTATTAAGAAGCAAACACAATGGCATTGAGAAAATTGCACTTTTCTGAGCCACCCTGTAAAAGAAATATTTTCCTGATATGGTCCCAAGTACATATATTAGATATCAATAACTAAACTTTTAGTTACGCAATCGAGGGCGCGATTTTTAAATTCATTGTATATTTATTAATTTTGCTGGTTTCAGTCGCTCAAAAAAACATGACAAAATCCATATACCTACCCTTTTTTATGTATATTTTCCTTAAGAAAAAACTGAAAAAAATATGATAGGAAACGAAGAATTAAGTTGAGCCAACGGTAAATATAAAAATTGGAAATCCTCCAGACGCGCAACCTCGCAAATCCCTGAGGAGCAAACAACTGTGCCAAACGAAACGTCGGAGGAAAAAAAGGGCCGGGATAAGATAAATCGACAAGGTTTATATTTGAATCGGTATTTTGTTTCTTATTTTTTTTATTAGAGGTATGTTTATGGATAAATCTTTGTATATTTTTGAAAAATCTTTACTTTTTATTTCTTTGAGTGCTTGTAGGCTGTACTGATGTGGAAAAAGTATATATTCGATACTCTATTGTATCCCCATTGCTTGAGTTATAACTCATACATCATTAATCTCCCTGTTGTGGGGTGGTCAAGGTATTTTCCATCCTCCTCTGACAACAACTACTCATCTTCTGAGAATCTGATTCACTTTTACAACAGAGCTACCACCTGAAATATACAACATGCTTAAACAATCATCAAAATCGGCCCACTCGAACAAAACATATCAAACTTTAAAATGAAAATTTTAAGGCGCTCCTTTTCGTCTCAATTGTCAGTGCAATCTCAATTCAGAACAAAACTAAACACAATACTTATTCTATATAAATTAAAAACTTTTCTCAACTCAACTATACAAAAACGCTTCGTACACAAATATACACGCAATATCTCTCTCGAAAACTCCACTGAACTTTCCAAATTATTTTCGGTGTCCCATAATTTCGACAAAATGGAACGAATTTATTTTAATTAGGATCAAACTGGCAGCGTCACCCCCTCACCGCGACAACTTCAAACAACAACCCTTTTGCGACCTCTTCGGAGCAGACGACATTTCGACGGTTTTTCGCCGCTCGTCATGATCGTAACACGAGTGTGGAATATGAAAATGAGACGCTGGGTTGGTGACAGCCGGTGATTTTCCGGAATTCAGTTAGATTTTGCTGCTCGAGAGTTTTTCGCAGTCACGAGGGAGTATATTTACATATTTATTACGATATCAGATGTGTAGGGATAAAGAGGGAGTAGCTCTGAGACCAAAAGACATAACTAATTATAATTTTAGTCAGTTTAAAACGTTTTTCTACGTTGTCCGATACCCAATTTCCAGCCTGGTCTATTCGTACAATCCTCTGTCGACAGGTTTTTTTCACTCATCGCTTTGTGGACGCTTTTTTACCATTTCAGTTTCGGTCTTCCCTGTTTTCTTCTGTCCTTTGGTTGCCAATTGATTTTTTTCTTGGGCCATCTTGTATTCATCATTCAGCTGCTTTCTCTCTACATCCTGTGTTATCGTGCCATCTATACCCATTTGCACATTGTTATTGGTAGATATGCCAATGCGACAATGATTAGAATGGTCACTAATGGAATTAGTACTGGGAGAATTGTCAGATCATGGGCTTGGAACACCCTCAAAAAGGAAATACCACTCCTGCAACTCCCAGTGGACGATATGCCAAGAACGTACAACTTTGACAAACATGTCAATGTAGTATGGAGCAATAAGAAGGATTGGAAGAGCGAAACGCTTGCCCAGCAGTTAAAAGACCATACCATAACTTGGTATACTGATGCTTCCAAAACCAATACGGGAACAGGGATCGGAGTGTTTGGGCCGAGAGCTAATTACTCCGAACCAATGGGTACTTACCCTAGTATCCTACAGGCAGAAATCTACGCTATCGAGAGATGCGTACAACTTATCTTAGATAGGAACTATCGGAAACAAGAAATAGCCATCTTATCTGATAGTCAAGCAGCGTTAAAGGCGATCAACTCAGTCTCAATCAATTCGAAATTGGTCAAAGAATACATAGAGAAGCTGAATAAATTAGGCAAAGAAAACAAAGTCCTCCTACACTGGGTGCCTGCTCACCAAGGGATAAAAGGCAATGAAAAAGCAAATAATCTAGGTAGAAAAGGAGCGAACACTCCACTAACTGGACCAGAACCGTTCTGCTTTCCAAGTGGTAACCAACTCAAGGAGGAACTCAAGAACTTGGAAGATTCCATCCGCAACCTGGAATGGAAATCTTGCAATGGTCTAGGACACTCGAAGAAGTTTCTGAGGGCTTATGATCAATAAAAATCACAGATCTTCCTAGGTCTGAGTAAGAACAATCTTCGGATTGTCACGGGGTTTTAACAGGACACTGTCTTCTCAATGAACACCTCAGTAGATTGAAACTAAGAAGAAACGGCGAATGCAGATTCTGTGGGGAAGATGGGGAAACACCAGTACACCTCATCACTGAGTGCGCCGAGACGACAACCATTTGTGCCATGAATTTTGGTACGACTGATACTGGAGATGGAGAACTACCCTCTATAAAACCGTCCCAGATACTGGCTTTTATCAAAGCCCTGGGACTGTATGATGAGTTATGATTCAAGAAAGGGGGACACAATGGATCTGTAAGGTCGAAGTGATTAACCCCCCTCCCACTCATTCTAAATTCTAAAAAAAATACCCATTTGTTGTTTTATGGTATTATTTCTTATTCGTTGTTGTCTGGAAATTCCCATTGATCTTCGAATAGCCTCTATCCTCTTCATGTATTTCTAAGTTATTCTCCATTTGTTATTGATTTGCTCCATAAGATTCCATTTAGACATCCGATTATTTTTTTCGCGTTGATAATCCTTTTCTCTATTTCTCTGCCATAAGTTCCAGTGTTATCAAATGTATTTCCCAGGTATTCATACTCTTGACGCATAATTTCTTGACCGTTGTCCAAGTTCAAATTTCCTCCTTGTGCGCCTATACATAGATATTTTGTTTTGTCTATGTTAACTGTCAAGCCCCACAACATAACTATAAACAAATAAATTTTACGAAAATATGAATATTTATTGTTAAATGTTATAGACTGGACCAATAAGGAATTAAAAATAGATGGAGAATATCTTAAAAAATATTTTAAATATTTACTACAAACAGAAATTAACGAACTACGCCAGCAATAAAGTAGATCTCAAAATGAATTTAACAAAAACTAAAGTAATGTACAACAAACTAGTAGACAGAAAAGACAACTGGAAATAGTAGAAGAATACATATATTTGAGACCAGAAAATCAACCGAAGAATTAAGCTAGTATGGAGTACTTATGGAAGAAACTCAATCATATTTAAATCTAGAATACTTTTGGATACAGGAACAAAAAAAAATTAAAAACAAAGTCTATCTAAAAAATACGAGCCATTAATTATAGTAAAACATGAGGAAACATCCCAGGCAATAGCTAGTTACTAAATAAAGAGAAAAGAACTTTTTAACATTATTAGATTTTTCTATAAAACCGACAGTATAAAATCAAATTTACCAAAAAAAATTGTTAAAAAACTTTGCATTAAATAAACCTTCTAAATAAGTTTATCTTTTATTGTGTTCTGTTTAAATTCCTAAACCAGCTAATGAAACATTGTTCTTGGTGTTGAATAAGCTAGAGAAAAAGTTAAAAATCACAGAGCTTTTATTCACCAAAAGTTTTTCTTTAAGTAGGTCAATTAAATAGTTAGAATAAAAGGAGCTTTTCAGATTTTATAAATCGTAGAATGGCGGATAGAATTAGCGAAAATAAAAACTTCTTTATTACGAAGTTGAGGTTTCGAATAGCTTTAATTAATACCGAAATCAGGAAATAATTGATCTTCGATAAGTATGCCTTTTTGTTCGGAGAGATTTTTTAAAGTAAGTCAATAAACATCGTTAAAAATCTATAGGAATTATTTTTTTATTGCGACACAAAACATCCAGCGGCTCACTGGTACATAGATGGAGCGCGCTTTTTCGAAAGCCGTTAGATGGCGTTAACGTCTAGTTCTCGCTATAGACAAGTAGGTCGAGGTAGACTACCAAAGTCGTCATAATGATGGAGGATAAAGAATGATTCACGGTAAACCGTGACGGGCCGGGGTCGTGCGACAGTGAAGGCACGGCCAAACATTGTCAAATGTTATTTCTACTTATATGCTAAGCCGAGCACGGTCCGAGCTTCGCATGAACAATTGAATACATCAGTCAATTTTTTTCATTCGCAAAAACAATTGAATACATCAGTCAATTCGGATTTATGTCATATACATAACAAACAATTTTTTTTTATCTGAAAAAATTAAAAAAATATATGAATGAGCACTTTTAAAAACACCCGGTAAGCGAAGGACCGCTTTTCTAAATTTTCTATTAGATTCTACTCACCAACGACATTCAGCTGAATGAAAATACTGGTCGGAGGATGAGATGACACTTGACATTCGTACACGCCACCGTCCCTTTGTTGCACGAATTTTATTTGGAGCGTCCAGTCCTGGAACAAAAAAAAACAAGGGATAGAATCAAATAAAATTGGAAAACTCAAAGTTACCAGACATAGATTCTGTTACCAGACGAAGAATTCTATATATTTTTTTGGTGTCTAGAGTTAGAAGTTCACATTTTATATTATTATATTTAAAAAAAAATGTAATATGTATCTGTTTATATACGATATTTCCAAAACTATAAGCTTATAGAAATAGTCCTAATTTTGGCCCCGCTAGCAAAGCCGGTGATTAAAAAACTATGCTCGCTACCGTAGTTGAACTCACCTAAAAAGTTTTTCTAGCTGGAATAATAAATTATAATGCAAGTTAGACCTTCTAAAATTAAGGATTAAAGAAAAATAAGAAGAATAATATATATATATATATATATATATATATATATATATATATATATATATATATATATATATATATATATATATATATATATATATATATATATATATATATATAAAGCCAAGGTCCTACAGCTTCTGCCGCATCCCGCATTTCGACCTCCATATTGCTCGATTTTGCCATTCTTCCTGGTTAATAGCTCTGTCTCTCATATACTGGTCTACTCCATCTAACCACGTAGTTGTAGGTCTTCCTCTTTTCCTTCTGCTTTGGGGACGATACTCCATTGCCCTTTTTGGCCATCTTTCCCCTCCCATTCTTTTTACGTGCCCATACCATAGTAGCTGTCTCGATTCGATGTTGTCGGTGCTGGTATATATTCGCCTTGTTCTTTGCCTGATCTCCTCATTTCTAATGTGTGCCATCCTTGATATGCGACATACTCTTCTGAGAAAGTCCATCTCCACTGACTCGACCATCCTTCTTTCTTTTGCTGTAAATTGACAGCATTCGGCACCGTATGTTAAAATTGGCTCTACGATTGCTTTGTAAATCCTTATCTTTGTTTGGATGGATGTTTTATTTGACCACAGGAGATGGTTTAAAAGACGGATTACTTTCTTACCTTGTTGAACTCTACTATGTATATCTTTCTTGGAGTTCCCTTCTTCAGATATAATACTTCCTAAATATTTATATTCGCTACACCTTTTAATTTCATGTATGTGTTGTTCAGGATCTTCAGTTTGTTCTTCTCCTACTTTCAGGTATTCGGTTTTTGTGAGGTTGATATTGAGTCCCCATCTGTCGTATTCTTCCTCAAGTTTCCTGAACATATAGTCGGCATCCTCCTCACAACCTGCAACAATAACTTGGTCGTCTGCAAAGAACAAGGTCGATAGACAGTGGTTGTCAATCTCTATTCCCATAGCTCTACTCTTCCTTCTCCAGTTTTTCAATGCCTCCTGGATATATATTTTAAATAAGGTAGGTGATAAACTGCACCCCTGTCTAAGTCCTTTAGATGTCAGGAAGGATTCCGATAGGAACTTCCCCTGTCTAATCATACTTTTTGGATTTTTGTACATATTCCAGATTGCATTGATATATGTTTTACTCACATTTGCTTCAACCAAGATATCAAATAATTTCTTCAAAGGCACCGTGTCATAGGCTTTCTCTAAATCTATAAATACCAGATGCGTGTCCAAATTTCGAGCTCTCCTTGTTTCAATTATTTGTTGTAACACAAATATGTTGTCTATACAAGAACGCCCAGCGCGGAAACCACCTTGTTCTTCTATTTCTTCAAAGCTCTCTTCTACTCTCTTTTTTAATATCCTGCCATACAACCTTCCCATTGAGCTTGTGAAACTAATGCCTCTGTAGTTGCTACATCTTTTTTTGTCTCCTTTCTAAAAGATAGAGCTGATGTACGCCAGGTTCCAGTCTTCAGGAATGTTTTCGTTTATTTATGTTTCAATGAAAATGTTTCCCGGCCCCGCAGAAGAATAATAAAAACACATAAGAGTTGAAGAAAAGTGACTTAAAAATGATATTTTTTTAACCGACACGCTTTAGGTCTATCTATCGAAACCCAGTTATACTCCAGTTCGAACTCTCCATCCCCCACTCCACTTTACCCTTTATTATCTCTCCAAGACCGAAGTCTCCTCTCCATCTTTCTCAGATTTCCATAATTAAACAGTTATGGAGGGGTATAAATCAGGAATTGCGGTCATTGTAACCCTCCCACTCTTATCTCTCCGGCTCTCCTTGTGGAAGAACACGACTAGTAAGGGGGAGAAACTTCACACTGCCCGTGAGCCACTGTCCTGCGAAGAGCGTAGAGGAGGATCATCCTGACTTATGACGTCGGTGCGGACAGCTACGGCCCTTCAAGGTCTAATTAATGACCAGGGGTGGAGGCAGAGTAGGAGTAAAAGAATTTTGAATAATTCATTAAATGTCGCTAGATTTCTGATTTTACATTTTTTTAGTACTACTAGCTGATACAGTATATGTACAGGGTGTGCCACTAAGAATAGCTCTCGGCTGTATCTCGGAAAGTATTAGTCGTAGGGCTTGCGGAAAAAAATATTTATAACTAAAGAGAGTATGAGAAATTGCTGGAAATTATTTTCAAGTTTGTATAGCGGCCGCTAGAGGGCGCAACTGCTGTTAAAAATAAGAAAAAGGAGTTTTTATACAATTTTGCCTAGATAACAGATACTATAAATAATAGATTCATAATCTTCAGTAAATTTTGCATATTTTTTGTTAGAACCATTTTCCCCTACCTGCCAAAATAAAGTGGTGGGGGAAGGTTAGATCTGTTTCTATTTAAACGTTAATAACTCCGGACTGGATGAACGGAATCTAACAAACGGGGGCTCGTTTAAAAGAGCGTTTCTTACTCTATATTATAGCGTATAAACAAAAATAATAAGCTTTTGCATGTAGACGCTAGGGGGCGTTGTCTTAAAATTTAACAAACAGTGCGCGTTTTTTCAAAAAAATTAAACGCGATAGTATATATAATTTTAGCTGATATTAAAGAGTAATAAAAGCTTAAAAAGTCAGCGAAAACCGCATCTTGATATCCTCTTTCAAACCGAAGATATTAGCAAAATTAAAATAAATACGAAAAAATAGGCCCTTAATTACCTTATTTTTTTAACACGGTTACAGTAGCCCTCTTGATTATGACCATTCTAATAAAAAATAAGATAGAAACGATTGCTTTATTCTAAAATCGAGAATATACCAGAATACGATAATACCAGATGTAACAATATCTAATAGTTAAGATATCAATGACAGTGAATAAGAAACGACGCCTCAGTGAAGTCATGGTAGGCTTTGGAAAAAGATGCTTTTGACGTAATAGTATAAACGTCAAAGAGTTATTAAATCAACATTTTGATAGTCTTAGGAGTGTTTTTTTTTCTTTTGAAGAAAGACATTTTTAGAAAAGCAATCAAAAGATAAAAAAAGCTGCTGAGACTATAACTAAATCGTTGATATAATAATATTTTGAGTTTAAACTATCTCTTTTTTTTTCGTTTCTTAGTCACTTTCATTGATATCTTCATTATTAGATATTAATACACCTAGTATTATGGTATTCCGGTACATTGTCGATTTTTTGAATGAAATAATCTTTTCTATCTTATTTTTTATTAGAATGGTTATAATAAAGAGGGCTAGGGATACCGTGTTAGAAAGATAAGGTAATTAAGGGCTTATTTTTTCGTATTTATTGTAATTTTGCTAATAACTTTGGTTTTCGCTGGATTTCTAAACTTTTATTACTCTTTAGTATAAGCTAAAATTACATATACTATCGCATTTAACTTTTTCGAACAAACGCGTAATGTTTGTTAAATTGTAAGACAGCGCCCCCTAGCGTCTACGGTCAAAAGCTTATTTTTCTTGTTTATACGGTATAATATAGAGTAAGAAACGGTCTTTTAAACGAGCCCTGACTTGTTGAATTCCGATCAACCAGTCCGGAGTTATTAACATTTAAAAAACAGATTTAACCTTCCCCCACTACTTTAATTTAGCAGATAGGGGAAAATGGCTCTAACAAAAAATATGCAAAAATTACTGAAGATTATGAATCTATTATTTTTTAGGCAAAATTGTGTAAAAAATCCTTTCTCTTATTTTTAATAGCAGTTGCGCCTTCTAGCGGCCGCTCTACAAACTTGAAAATAATTTCCAGCAATTTCTCATGCTCTCTTCAGTTATAAATATTTTTTTCCGCAAGCTCTACGAATAATACTTTCCGAGATACAGCCGAGAGCTATTTTTAGTGGGACACCCTGCACTTATTTTGGAACCGCTGTTTTCTCAACAACATTATTAAATAAAACAAGAAATTAATGCAAAAGTAACAATGGCCATCGTGGAACCTCTATCAACAAATCGTCAATTTATCCAATGCAAGTCTATCGATTTTCGCGAAGTCTTTATGCAGAATTGCGCTTTGCTCGTTCATTCCCGGTTAAAAATGGAACAAATAGACGAGATATAGGGAGCGAAGCAATGAAATCCTATCAGCGCAAACGAAAATGAGATCCATTGTAACCAATATGGCTATTTATTCCGGCGCAACGAATCGTTTACAGATTTCTGCCAGGATTGACGATAGCATTCCATCTTTTTTATCTCTATCTTCGGCCTTTTTACTATCAAATAACGCGTTTATTTAAAGAGATAGGTAAACACAAAGAGATTCCCCGTCTAAAATAACGTATACATTAAAAAGAATTAAATAGAATAACATTGTAACCGAACCACATAACACTATGTCGCAGAGATTAGATTTTATGAGGTGATTCTTTCTATTTTATGTATTTGGTTTTCTTCTGAGACGGGAAACACAGAATGACGTGTGGAGTTCCTCTAGGTTCGATCCTCGGACCCACCCTCTGGAATATATTTTACGATCAGATACTTAGAACCGATACAGGCCTTGGCAACACGATCTTAGCTGACGCGGACGATCTAGCCCTCTTAATAACTGCATCCACCTACACGATCCTCGAAGAAAAGATTCAGACGGCTGAGCTAGCGATTAGTTCATTCGACCATACTCTACGCATCGCCGATCTGGGACAGATCCATGCACTTCAAGCAT